TGTACTAGGGAAAATTTCATGCAATTACAGTATATTTCCAAGAAGACAAGCAGGACATTACACACCACAAAGGTGTGAACACGTCAATTCCAGGACTGAACCAAAACCAGTTTCACACCAAATGAACAAAAGCAAAGTGTGAACAAAAGCAAGGTAGGACTAAACCTTGACTTAACTAGGACTAAACCAGGACTACACCAGGACTAAACCTTGACTTAACTAGGACTAAACCAGAACTAAACCAGAACTAAATCCTGACTTAACAAAGACTAAACCAGGGCTAAACCAGAACTAAATTCTGCCTTAACTAGGACGAAACCAGAACTAAACCAGAACTAAATCTTGACTTAACTAGCACTACACAAGGATTAAACCAGGATTAAACATTGATTTAACTAGGACTAAAAAAGGACTAAACCTTCACTTAACCAGGACTAAACCTTGATGTAACTAGGACTAAACCAAGGCTAAACCAGGACTAAACCTTATCTTAACTAGGACTAAACCGGGACTAGATTTTGACTTAACTAAGACTAAACCAGAACTAAACCATGAATAAATCGTGACTTAACTAGGACTAAACCAGAACTAAACCAGGACTAAACCTTGACTTAACTAGGTCTAAACCAGGACTAAACCAGGTCTACCCCCAGACTAAATCAGGTCTAACTCAGGACTAAACCAGGACTAAACCTGGACTAACTCAGGACTAAACCAGGTCCAACCCAGAACTAAACCAGGGATAAATCAAGTCCAACCCAGGACTAAACCAGCAACAAACCAGAACTAAACCAGGACTAAAAAAGCACAAGAAAACTCATCACACGCTTGCCTTTATGACACACATGCAGCTTTCATTAGATTGGCCCAGGACTTGGACATTTCCCCTGTTATCTGCTGACATGAACCCACCCCCAGCCCGCAGCCTAACCTTATGCGTTTCTCAGTACACAAATGTGATTATGGCAAAACAACATCTGCAGCACTTTTAACTTGTCACTTGTCGACTCCGCAGCCTTATTTTGTCTGGTAAACAACTCACAACAGAAGGTGCGGTGTCAAATTCAAACGGTTTTCTTTCGCTAATCAAATCCTTGCCATTTCACCCGCCGTATTTAGCATTTGCATAGAAATAACAAGACAGTACTGTAATCCTGCTAATCGAGATCACCTTTAAGTGTTCAAAGTGTGCTTAATGACGGGGTTTTATGTAGAGATACGGGATGAAAGCGTTCGCTGCACTCATTTTCCAAGGTTAAAAATAATGACATTTTAAAGCTAATTTAGATTGCATGTTTTTGGTTTGCCGTGTTCAAAAATAGAGAGGCATTACAATAATCCTACTAATCAAGATTATATTTATTTCCAAAAAGCGTGGATAATTTTAGAGTGTGACGTATTTAAAGGTCCTATATTATGCACAATTGATTCTTCTAAGCTTTTAGCCGTGTTGGAATGTTTTTACCTCCTCAAAAACATACCTGGAGTCATGTTTTGTTTCATTTACATTAGTCTGTCTACATCAGGCATGTCCAAACTATGGCCCGTGGTCCAAATGCGGCCCTCAGACAAATTTTTCTTGGCCCTCAGGCTTTCAGGAGAATTGGCCCAAATTACCTTGCATCAATTAAAAATTTACTTTTTACTGCAAGTTTTTTGAAAATCTACCCTGATAAAGCCAATATTGAATATTTAGTGTGTGGTTTTAAGGATCTTAGCAATAATAAAGTCTGATGGCTCATTCTAACGTGTTAAACATGCACATATTTCAGTTATTCACTGTATTGAGCACCAGTCTACGGCCCTCGATCAGACCTCTGCTTCATCTGTGTTTAGAGATGTGGCCCTTGATGAAAAAAGTTTGGACACCCCTGGTCTACATATCCAAAGCTCAAAATGCTCTGCTCCACCTTGTGACGTCATGAAGTGGTAGTTTTCAAGCTAACAGCTACCTTTTAACCTTATTTCAGTAAAAAAATTGGCAATTCCAGGCCTGAAATAATGATTCTAGTGAAGGTGTATGGAGTTTAAAAACACAGTGGAGCACTTCTTGTATTGAGCAAATAACAAATATCTAAGGGTTTGTGTGAATGAAACAAAACACAACTTCAAGTATGTTTGTGATTTTGTGAACATTATAACATAGATCAGAAAATAGTGTAATATGGGTCTTTTAATCAAGATTGGAAATTAAAGATGCATTATGTAACTTTTCTGATGGAGGATCTGCCACCTGTCTTATGTTTATTGCTCAAAAATCTCTTCATAAATATAAATGAGTTTGCCCCCTAAGAGACCTGACCTGTAACTTGGCCTTATCACCATGGAGATGCCAAAACGAGACAGGCCAGTGACACATCTCCACCTGGAGAGCAGGGGTGTGTGTGCAAAAATATTGAAATATCGATAAAGTATATCGTATCGTTTAATGTGATGATACAGTATCGATATCATGGGCTGCTGTATTGATATATATCGCCAAGAGGATTTTTTGGTATACTTTACTAAGATGTGTGTACAATCCCTCAGTTGTCCAAGTAGAATTCATGCTAAAAGAAGAAACACAATTTGTCAACTGGACAAAAGTTTATTTTGGTCGACTGTGTTTCGCCAATTCAAACTGCTTCTTCAGTTCTTGTCAGACATTGGTGGATACTTCCTTATATCTGAAACAGATATCTGTCTCCTATATTCCTTCATGACATCACAAGGTGGAGTAGAGCATTTTGAGCTTTGGATATGTAGACAGACTAATGTGAATGAAACAAAATAAGAGACAGATGTCTGTCTCCTATTTACAACGCCATCCTCAAAACCTAAATCAAAACAAACAAGAAAACAATAGGGATATCCAGGTCAGGTCCAGAGGTGTGAAATGTCCATTATGGCCCTGAATGATTAAGACGGCCCCACACTCAGTGCAAGTTAAAGAGGCCTAGCTAACAAAGAGAAACTGTAAACAAATAAGTGTGTTTCAGAGTACTTTCATAGTAGTTAGCTCCTCCCTTAAGGCAGATATAAGGAAGTGTCCAGAACTGAAGACACAGCTTGGATGAGCTGCGAAACATATTTGACCAAACTTTGTCCAGTTGGCAAAATGGATTTCTTCTTTTGCCATATATTTGATAAAATTATTTTGTAAAAGAGCTACAATTTTGTTGCTTGTTCAGAGGAAGGAAACTCGTTTATGCAGCATTTGACATTTTCATTGTTTTGATGAATAAAATGGGCGTGTTTCAGATTAATTTTGCACAAGAAGTGGTTTAACACTTTTAGCATCACAGTCACGATTTAGCCTTTATTTTTTTATTGAACCGCATTGAATCGATTTGAAACATATTGTATTGACTCGTATTGAATCATAAGATCATTGTATCGAGACCTATGGTACCACAGCCTATGTATCGAGGTATGTATTGTATCTGCAACTTCTCAATGATTCCAAGCCCTACTGAAGAGTCTTAAAGCAACCAGAAATTACACCTATTTTCTTGCAATGAATAGAGATCTTTTTTTTTTGTTTAATTTTGGCTCCAGATTATTAAAATGAAATTCCTTCCTTCTATTACACCCACATAAATATGCATCTTAATATGTAACTGAGTCGGTCTATATTCAAACCTATTTCTATTCATGGATTCTGGCATGAGGATTCTTGCCTGATGTGAAGGATTTGGCAGCGGTCCTCTGTTGTCATAGCAATAACTCAATTCATATCAGAGTATTATATCTCTTGAATGGGGAAAGGTCCTTGTAACTTAAATGAATGGCAAACTAAGGTTTTAACTGACAGATAATATTTTTAATGGTTTCTGGTGAGTAAATAATGAAAATATCGTTAAGTTAATGATGAACATGATTAAACCAAATTTGTGAAAAGACTCAAACTGGGGAATAACAGCATTCTCTGAATCCTTCAAATCAGAAAGAAATCATTTGCTGAAACCCATAAATTTGAACGCAGGGTTCACTAATACTGCTCTCTTGGTCTATTTTTGATACATACCAATGCAGATCTGAACTACTTGAGAAGAGCTGGACTAAATCAGGACTAAACCAGGTCCAACCCAGGACTAAACTAGGTCTGACTCAGGACTGAACCAGATCTAACCCAGTACTAAACCAGGTCTGACTCAGGACTAAACCAGATCTAACCCAGTACTAAACCAGGTCTGACTCAGGACTAAACCAGATCTAACCCGAGACTAAACCAGGTCCCACCCAGGACTAAACCAGGACTAAACCAGGTCCAACCCAGGACTAAACCAGGTCTAAACAAGGTTTAAGCCAGGACTAAACCAGGACTAACCCAGGACTAAACTAGGACTAAACCAGGACTAAACCAGGTCCAACCCAGGACTAAACCAAGACTAAACCAGGTTCAACCCAGGACTAAACCAAGACTAAACCAGGTCCAACCCAGGACTAAACTAAGACTAAACCAGGTCCAACCCAGGACAAAACCAGGTCTAAACTAGGACAAAACCAGATCTAAACCAGGACAAAACCAGGTCTAAACAGGACAAAACCAGGTCTAATCCATGACTAAACCAGGTGTAACTCACGGCTAAACCAGGACTAAAGCAGGACTAAACCAGGACTAAACCAGGACTAAACCAGGATTAAACCAGGACTAAACCAGGACTAAATCAGGACTAAACCAGGTCTAACTCAGGTCTAAACCAGGACTAAACCAGGACTAAAACCAAACAAAAAAAACCTAAAAACAACACTACAATACTAAAAACATGCAGATGCTGGCACCTATATTTTAGAATCCAGTGATGGCCGTTCAGCTCTACCCATAATTTTGGATCGACAGACAGGACCAATTTAGAATAAAACACCCTAAAGACACAATTCAAACTCAGCTTTTCCAACTTGGAGACGAAATGTTTATTTACCTTTGTAATAAATTTCACATATCAGTAGTTGTAGAGTCATGACTGATGGCGTATGACTATATAAAATGTACTCTTTGGTGTCTGGAATGGACTCACCTGGCTGACTTTTGCTGGGGTGAGGACCATGTCTAAAACTCCAGACCAGCCTGCAATCACTCCAGTGGGCACTGCATAGGCCAATGCAATCATCAGGAACCGGAAGTTACTGCAAAGAAGAGAAAAGAAATATAATTTTTTTTTTTAGTAAATTAGGTAATGTGTGTGAAAAAGCTGAACAATCCAAGAAAATATGTAATTGTGTCTTTTTCTGAAAAGCACTGAGATTTGTGATTTATGTTCTAGTAATAGGATTCTGTTCAAAGTTCACATTTCAAATATGTCTTGTTTTCTCAAAAGGGAGCTGCAGGGGGAGCTTAGTTCAGCTTTAATCATCATTATTTCAAATCAAAACTCGGATCTCAGAAGTACACAAAAAGGCGTTTAATAAGCACAAGTACAAGTTTACTCATCCCAGTGCTGTTGTTCGATACATTTTTGGTTCAAAGTCCATCAACTGCTTGTTTCTATAGATATGGTCATTGCTCTGCCTGGAATGTTCCACAGTATGACATTAAACAGCACTACGTTACATTTATTGAATTACAGGTGGTTTTATTTCTCAAAAATACCAAGAAAAACAGACATTCTGACTGTGAGGGGTCACCTCTCCACAGATCTGACCTGTAATTTGGTCTGGTTTGGTCTCCATGAAGATAGAAAGGTTTAATGCCATACTGTGAAACATTCCAGACAAAGCGTTAACGTGACAAACCCTCCACCAGAAACTTACACAATGAACAGTTTTGGATGGACCGTTTTGGGCCAGCTGTAGTTCATTTAAAACCAACAGCACAATGTAACAAAGTACAAATAGTTAAGTAAAAGTAGTAAAGAACTGCACTTTTTACTTTACTACATTTGAGAACATGTATTTACTACATTTGAGAGCATGTAGCTGTACTTTCTACTCCACTAAATTTTTGAACAGGACTGAAAAGTAAAAGAATGTTTTTCTTCTTGTCTGAGACCTGCTGAAAATGCTGATGTTTTTTTTAACATGTTCACAGTTTGAGCAAACTAAAACATGCAAATAAAAACAGCTACAAACCCCCCTCCCAAAACAATCGATTCAGTTGTTTCTATTGAACAAAATTCAGAACAAATCTGTATCAACATCTCTAAATTAGACATTTGATAAGATCTGGAAATCTGCATGAAACACATTTACTTTTTACTCTTTAAGTAAATTTTTAAATAGGTACTTCAATACTTTTACTGAAGTAGATTTTTTCATGTGATACTTTTTCTTTTACTTGAGCATTTTTTCTATACTTCTAAGTTTGAAAAATTGAATCTTTCTTTCACTACAGCATAAAACCATAAGAAAACACTTTCATATGGGAAAACCAAAGAGGAAATTGAGCCATAGATCAAGTTTAAAGTTGGGTAATCCATTGAAAATTCTCCTCTTGTCTGTCTCTACAGCTCAAACTTTGCATCCTTGCCGTAGCCTGCGTCCATGTTTTATTTATTTCACGTTTATTTTCATCAAGGAATTCTGCTTCGAACAGCTTGGCCCTGTCTGAACCTGATGATGAGTTGGAGAAGCCTTTCCCTTGCGTTCAATGGGATTTGGACAAGTGCCATAAGGTTTACAGGCAGAGAGGAGAGTCCCATTAGATCACACACATACATATGCACACATACATACACAAATACAGATACAGGGCGCTGGCTACTGTCCCTACCACTGTCGAACGAGGAGATCGTTTGAAACCAGTCCACGGACACAGGGAGATAAGGAGAAGTGTCAAAGAAGTTGCACAAGGGCTGGAAGGGCAGCTTCAGGGTCACAGCATGTAACTTTTTACCAGGTCTAACCCAGGTCTGAACCAAGTCTAACTCAGGACTAAAGGTTTATACTGCTTGCTTGGTCCACCTGTGATGCATACCAAATGCAGAACTACCTGAGAAGAGCTGGACTAAATCAGAATTAAACCAGGACTAAACCAGGACTAAAGGTTCACTAATACTGCTTACTTCGTCCACCTTTGATGCATACCAACGCAGAACTATCTGAGAAGAGCTGAACTAAACCAGGACTAAACCAGGACTAAACCAGGACTAACCAGGTCTAAACCAGGTCTAAACCAGGACTAAACCAGGACTAAACCAGGTCTAACCCAGGACTAAAGGTTCACTAATACTTCTTGCTTGGTCAGCCTTTGATGCATACCAAATGCAGAACTATCTGAGGAGAGCTGGACTAAATCAGGACTAAACCAGGTATAAACCAGGTCTAAACCAAGTTTAAACCAGGTCTAAACAAGGTCTAAACCAGGTCTAATCCAGGACTAAACCAGATCTAACTCAGGACTAAAGGTTCACTAATGCTACTTGCTTGATCCATCTTTGAAGCATACCAAACGCAGAACTATCTGAGAAGAGCTGGACTAAACCTGGACTAAACCAGGTCTAAACCAGGTCTAAACCAGGTCTAAACCAGGACTAAACCAGGTCTAAACCAGGACTAAACCAGCACTAAACCAGGTCTAACCTAGGACTAAACCAGGTCTAAACCAGCACTAAACCAGGTCTAACCTAGGACTAAACCAGGTCTAACTCAGGACTAAACCAGGACTAAAATGGAGAAATCATCCAATGTTTTTTTTTCCCATGCAGATGCTGGTCGCGATATTTTAGGATCCAGAGATGGCCTATATATCGTTATTTTTGGGGGGAAAAAATCCCCTAAGTATACAGTCTTAAAGTCACAGTATGTAACTTTTTAGCCAAACTAAAAAACTAAAAGAAAAGAAAAGCATGTACACAACCGGTCAAAAGTTTTAGAACATCCTAATTTTTCCAGTTATTTATTGCAATTCAAGTCGAGCAAATCTCATTGCTCCCATTGGTTTTGAGATGAACTGGACAGAAGAGTGAAAACCAAGCAACCTACAAGTGCCACACATTTATGGAAACTTCTGCAACAGACTTGGGAAGAACTTTCTGAACAATATTTGATTTCTATTGTAGAAAGAACGAGCCACAAGTTTGTTCAGCTGTTATATCTGCCAAAGGTGGACACTTTCATGAATCAAAAGTTTAGAATAAGTTTTGGTCAACAGTAAACCATAAAAAAATGGAAAAAGTGTGGTGTTCTAAAACTTTTGACCAGTAGTGTACTTTGTTGTGTTTGTTTTTTGTTGTGGTTATTGCAATGAAAAGTTGAGATAAACAGGTGTCCTTATACTTAGCGAGCTTGCATCTCCACAAACCTCTTACACATCCAGAAAGTTATTTGTCTCCATGGAGATGTTACAAAAAAGTGGACTAAGAGACTGTAACATCAGCCATAGCGTTCTGTTCCAGTCAAATGAAGCTCACGATGCTCAACTTTAAGTATCGGACTCTCTTCACGGACAAAATACTGAAATAAAAACACCAGGAACCAAACGTATCCATGGAGACAAGCAAGTGACGCCACCAGGCCAAGTTACAGGTCAGATCTTTGGAGAGGCAAGCACAATCATAGTAAGACTGTATTGTTTTTCAAGGTATTTTTAAGCAATGAATTCGTTGAAAATTTGCAAGATAGACAATACCATACTGTGTAAACATGTAAAGCACTTGAGTACACCTCTACTTATGCAGTATTCCCCAAATAACTATAAGCCTACAAGAATATCTCAAACACAAACAGGAAAAGGGGAGAAAATAATGGTTGTTTATCGTGTCATGTGCGGATCCAGGACCACACGGAGATAAAAGGTTTCATTCCCGAGTGAGGAAAAGCGCTTCAGGCTAACGCTGCTCTCCTCCAGGCACTAATGCTATTTGTCTGTTTATTTTTACTCACTATTATACAAACGCACAGGAAACTACACTGCGGAAATCTGTATCTGGATTAGTGGAAAATACTTGAAATTATAATATTTTAAAGGTCCGACATTATGCAAAATTGACTCTTTAGCGCTTTAGGACATACCTGGACCTGTGTTTTGTTTCATTCACACATGTTTGAGTAATTCTTTATCAAAATGCTCCGTTCCACCTTGTGATGTCATGAAGCAGTTTTCAAGTTAACAGCTACTTTTTACCTTTTTGTTCAGTAGAAATGGACAATTCCGTGGTTGAAAAGATCCAAATGATTCTAGTGAAGGTGTATGGAGTTCAAAAACTCAGTGGAGCACTTCCTGTATTACCGTATGACATCACAAGGTGGAAGTGTTTTTTGTTTGAGAGAAGAAATGAGCCTAAATATGCAGGGTTTGAGTGTTTAACATATGTGCATGAAACCAAACACAACTCCAGGTATGTTTGTGATGAGGAAACAACATTATAACGTTGGTCCTTTAACATTTGAGAGAAGACTGTGGTTTGAAGTTCAGACTTTGGAGGAAGAAATTTGACTATTTAAACCTGGACTAAACCAGGACTAACAGAGGTCCAACCCAGGACTAAACCAGGTCTAACAGAGGTCCAACCCAGGACTAAACCAGGTCTACCAGAGGTCCAACTCAGTACTAAACCAGGCATGTTTTTGATAAGGAAACAACATTTTAACATAGATCCAAAAATAGCATAAAATTGGCCCTTCAACATTTGAGAAAAGAAGTCAGGACTAAGCCAGGACTAAACCAGGTCTAACCCAGGACTAAATCAGAACTAAAACAGGCCTAAATCAGAACTAAACAGGTCTAACACAGGTCTAACCCAGGACTAAACCAGGACTAAAAATAGAGTAAAATTTGCCCTTTAACATTTAAGAGAAGACTGTGGTTTGGAGTTCAGATTTTGGAGAAAGAAATTTGACTATTTAAACCAGGACTAAACCAGGTCTAACCCAGGACTAAACCAGGACTAAAAATAACGTAAAATTGGCCCTTTAACATTTGAGAGAAGACTGTGGTTTGGAGTTCAAACTTTGGAGGAAGAAATCTGACTATTTGAAACAGGACTAAACCAGGACTAAGAAATTTGACTATGTATAAATCTGTATTGTTTATGTTAGGAAAATAATATTTTTCAGAAAATAAACCAGGATAAATGAATAAGAAGACAATGTTTGTTTTTCCGTCATATTCTCAAGCCTTCTATAGGGTCAGTGGATTTTACACATTACATCTCCACTCTTCTGCAGCCAATTCTGTCTTTTTGTTGTGA